AAATAATCTGGACAGCTTTGAGCAGCCTTTCTCTTTCCGCTGGACATCCGTTAATCGTTCTGCTTGATGGGAGATATTTGCCTTTGGAACAAGAGATCTGACTTTATTAAAAATGATAGTGATGCAGTTCCTCTCTCATAGCAACCCTGAGATAGTTACTGTGCTGTGTTTGAATGTGCTCTGGAACAGAAAAGATTTTATATGTTCACAGCTGCTGTTGATTTCCCCCACCCATACAAAGAAAAAACCAACCCAAAACCACTATGAGTTAAGAAATTTCTTAATCCCTAGCATAAAGCCCTTCTTTTCTTCTTGTGTCAATGCAATTTGTAGAGCTGCCTTTAGCTTCTCCCTAAAAAGACCCCCACAGTTTATATTTCATACTGCTAACTGTATCCTCCCTATCTCATTTCTCCACATCTGTATAACTTAGAAAGTTAAGCACAGAAGAGCTGTGCTCTTTTCTGTTATTACCTGGTTGTCTGAAACACGGAGTGTGCAGAAGCTCCCATTTGTTGCCCCAAAACCAGCGTCTTCACAGTAAAAGCCTGTGGCACAGCCCAATGGCTCTAAACTTTCTTCTTCGATGCTCAGCACACTTTCAGTACCGGTACATTATTCCTGTTTTGGCTTTTAACTGATAGTCAGCATACTCCGTAACACAAAACCCAGCAAACACAAGAGCACATAAAAGCAAGAGTACAAAAAGGGGGAACACAAACCTCCTGCTTACAACACTTCAAAACCAAGGAGCCTCTCCCTAGCCCTTTTTATAACCAGCTGAGCTGGAGCTGCTTAAGTTCACCTGGGACCATACTTAGGCTTCAGCTGAGTAACCCTGCTATGCCAGTCATCTCTAGGCTTTTGGGGGTGGGCTTGTAGCCAAAGAGTGCAAAAGCATGACATTGTTAGGAACCCCCAGATTTCAAAGTCTGTTCAGAGCTTAAATATTGTTCTTACTAATGCGCCGACGTTTTCATGTTCAGGTTTTCTTTAATTTACACCGTATCGGGGTCATACTATTTAAGTTTACATGGTTGGGTTTGTAGCAGAGAGCAAGTTTTAGGAGCTTCAAAAGTTTTCCAAGGGAACTCTTTGGAAGAAAAGCCGTCAAGAATTTTTTTTTTTGGTCCCATTTGCAATGCAAAGAAACTGAGAGTGCACATATTCTGCTCGTGTCACACCTGTGTTAGCTGAATTTTCGCAAAGGCCTTGCTTAGAGCCGCAGGGTGCGACTCCGCAACAGCTCAAGCTGACCAAAATCAGTGCTACTTCAGTTCCCACGTCCCTCGCTGGGTCTTCCTGCTTTGTTCCTTGTGACAGGGCTAATACGTGTCCGATTTGGGGGTTAACTGATTCAGGCAACTCGGTGTAGCTCCCTGAAGACCGAGCAAAAATAGGTTGGGATTTCTGGGTTCTGGTTTAGTTCCAGGACAAGCAGAGAGGGAGATGGGGATGCTGGGAGTTGCGAACCCGGGCAGAATTCGTTTTTGCTTCAAAAAAATGACATGTGGTGGCTTTCAAGTCTTGCTTAATGTTGCTGTTACGCAGAAGGAAAAAAAAAAAGTATATTTGATTTAGGTTTCTTTTCCCTTTTCTGTAACTGTGGAAATTACACCGATGCTCGTTTGACTCACTACTATTTCAAAATAATATTAAAGTGACTAATATCTGAAAAAATGCGCGTGTCGTTTGACTCGCAGTTCAGAGCTCGTCTCGTCGGAGGGCCTCTGACTGCCGCAAATCGCTTTAAATTGGCAGAGCGCTTCTCATAACGAGCCGTATTTCAACACAATTTCATCGGGTTCCCTGCCAAGGAGGAAACTGTAATCCTGAAGCTTTTTGATGGTGTCACCCGGTCAGTGGTCACCTCTTGGCCCGTGGGCAGGTATGGATGAGTATGGGGTGACTCAGATGGTCTAACCGCCGCGGTTTTAAAGGCTTCATCACCAGGCCCGGGGATGTTTGTCCAACTCCTGCCCCGCTGCGGAGGCGGGAAGCTGCTGGGGTCTGGCAGTGGGACCGCCAAGCCCCGCTCCGGTTTCCAGCGAGGCTGCTCAGCAGCTGGAGGAGACCGCTTGCCGCTTCACGACTTTGAATCGACGTGCGTGCGACAGCGAGGACCCCTGGCTGGCCTGAGCCTTGCTGAGCCGTTAGCCATCTGCGTCTGGCTTGAGATGAAACGGCGAGCAGAAATACAAATAAATTCCCGCTTGCTTTTTTAGCTGGAAATGCACCTTGAGAAGCCTGTAGGCAGCAACCGTGGCCAACGCTTTGGCCAGCAGCATGCAGGGCAGGGAGGGGTTTCAGTATGCAGAAACTGAAATTTACATCTGCCCGGGTCTGATACGACTATAAAATTATGCTGTAGAAAACAAGAATGCGAAGACCCGGTAAGCAAGAGCGTGTTTCACAGAGCGCTTACCCAAATGCTGACGCTGGGTATCGGACAGCAAAGTTTGCCATGTCCCAGTTCCAGATGTGGTAGAAGTACGGATCGTTTTAAGATACGACAGATTAAAAAATCAAAGCGAAGACCCATCCTGGGTCAGTTCAGATGTTTGATGATTAAGACTTAAAGATCCAAAAAACTCCCTTCTGGCCTAAACCCTTAATCCTTTGTTGTATTCTGCTTGATTTTCACCGCCCAGCCTTCAGGTTTCCCCCTTCTAATCCGCAGCATGCCTTCCGGATGAAATAAATACTGTCACGTAATGAAATCTCATTTTCTATTAAAGGATCATTGCAGGTAATCCCGTGACAGTGACGTGACACTTTGCTGGCTGCAACAACTAAGGTGCTGCTTTTTGGCACGGACGGACTCGCTCTGCTTATGCCGCGTCTAAAACGCTAGGACTGTGGTCTTGCTTCGGGTGCGTATCATGTGAAATTGCTGTTGAGTAGCCGGCTGGGTAACGCGCTCGGTGCCACTCCAAGTAATTAGGCTTTAATACAAAGTGCGGTAGCGTTGCCGCCTGTTTCCTCGCAGGCGCTGGGACCGGGACCGTGCTCGCCGCAGCTGCCAGGGACTGCAGGCTCTCCCAGTGCTGGGGTCTTGGCCCCCCGACTCGGCAGCGATTCACGGCGCTGCTGGATGACTCTGCTCGGCTCCAGGGGTCTCGCAAAATCCAGGAAGAGCCGTGTCGAAACTGGCTGGAATGTGGATTACTTTCATACATGTCTAAGGGCAAGGAGAAAAGGTGAAATTAGGGCTCTGGTGGCTCTCCCCAGGGGCTGTGAGGAATCTGTTCTTGGGGCCAGGGCTGCTCCCTGCTTCTGCACGTGCACGTGTTTAACAGTGAAGATAAATCCGGCAAACCCCGAGCTCTGGAGATTTAGCACTCCCGAAGCACAGCCTGTAACTCTGGTTGTGTCGGGAAGTACCGTCCCCGATTTTGGGGTTCTGAAAGGAGGATCGAAGGGTTCCGGGTCTAATCCCGTGTCCTTAAGTAATCCGTTTCATTCATCACATCGAACTGAATCGCTGCAGCTGAGCAGCATGAGCGCAGAATCCTCTTACCCTGTAGCTTTCTGCGCCGTATGACTTCACCTGTAAATAGAAGCGGACTGTAATTAGACGTGGGGCTCGCATCTGCCCTGCGCTTGCAACAGGGAGCCTTAACGTTGGGGGAGGAAGCACCAGACCCGTAACCGAGACCCTTCGCAGGGGACGGCCCTGACAACCCTGGCTCCCACGTGATGCCAGAACGCAGTTTTGGCTATCTGCATCAGTTGGAAAAAACTGCAGTTCTTTAAGCTCCTAAAGGGGACGTGTGATCTTTGTTTAGTTGGACTAGCTGAAAAAAACCCTGAACTACTTTCAACAAGTTCTTCATAGTTTTCTGTCTCGTCAGTTCAGCAAATCGAACAAGTTATAGTTGTTTTAAGAGCTTCGCAGCTACTGCAGCCAGTTGTAGTAGAGACGTATGTATGAGGGAAAAAATGCATCCTGTGGACCGGCTGCTTTGGATCTGTATAAAATCAAGGTTTGTGTCTTGTGTGTGTCTCGGCAGGAATAGACCCGCGAAGAGCAAATTCAGCTAACCTTGTGTTTTAAAACCAAACAACCCCTCTTCCCGCCCCCGGTCTTTCTCAGCACACGGTCTGGGGAGGTATGGAGGGAAACTTCCCCCCATGACATCGGGAAAGGGTATGTTTTTTGAACAGGACATCGGAGCTCTCTTCTGGCAAGAATCTGGCAAATGAGATCGGTTGAATTTGTGTGTGCACGACAAGCTCACCCTTCAGACAGGAGTGCATCCGATACTGAAGTTTTGGACGGGGCTGAAGCCCTGTATGCATAAGAACAGCTAATGAGAATTTTACCCGAGCTCGTTTCATGTCTCCTAGGCCGTTAGAAGTAAAAAGGTCTTGACTGATACTGAGCATGAAAAAGCACAAAGCCGACAGGGTAGATAGTTAATGGACAAATAGAGCTAATTCGCCTACCTACTGCGGTTGTGTAAGTGCAATGCAAAAGGGGGACTGTGTAAGCTGAAAATAATAAAATAAAAAAAGCTGTAAAAGTAAAGAGAATAGCCTTCCCTTCAATCGTTGGTTCCCTGTGAAAAACTACAGGAGGGAGCAATCCCTGCGATTTCGCCTCTTGTCTTGTCTGCGGGTTCCGCACGCGGCAAATAACTCGGCGATGATGTAGGTTACGCTTCGGTCTGGGGGATAAACTAGGAAATCCGGGAAAGCCTGCATCGGGACAGCACAAGGTAGCGCTGCGGATGACTGCAGAAAACCAAACTTTGTAGGAAGAAATGCCCTTTTCCGTTACGGGCCCGTATTCGGCAAAGGTCTGAGCACCTGCTTAGCTCCACGCGCTGGGAGCAGTTGGGCTGGCGTCAGCATAATATTTATCGTACGTGAACTCCAGGGCGTGTGTTTTTGCGGGGTGTCATTGGGAAAGGTAATCTCCTGGCGGGTTACAAATGAAGAAATGCTGTCGCTTGGCAGATCGGTAATGCTTGCGATGCTCTTTCAGACTAACAGGGATGCCAAAGGAAAAATATGATCCTCCAGATCCTCGCAGAATTTACACCATCATGTCAGCGGAAGAGGTAGCCAATGGGAAGAAGTCGCACTGGGCTGAATTAGAGATCTCGGGTGAGTGGGTTTGGTTTTGAATTTTGGTTCGGCAGAGCTGTCGGTACCCCAACATAGCACGAGACGCTTTCCGATAGGAGATCCTGTTGTGAAACCAGTTTTTCTGAGTTGGGGGCGGAGGAGCAACTGACTTAGCAGATTGCCTTCGAGCTTGATATGCAGCCCAGCTGATTTAAAACACCAGCTCAGATTGGACGTGAGTTTTTGGGTAGCACGTCAGCTTCCCTAGAGCTGTACCTCTGTCTCTATTTTTTTAACTGGGAAGGATTAGATAATTATTTAAAGTCTGCTCGTAGAAGAGCTACACGAAGGTATCTTCCACAAGTGTCACTGAGCGTTCCACTGAAGTGGTAGGGTTTCCACACTGGAAATCCCATATTCTGACATCCCCCATAGTTTGTGTCTGATGGCTTGAGAGTGCAAACCTGACTGAGGAGGTGGTTCTTTGCTTTTCTTTTTTAGGTAGAGTGCGGAGCTTAAGTACGTCGCTTTGGTCGCTGACGCACTTGACTGCTCTGCACCTCAATGACAATAATCTTACTCGCATTCCACCTGATATTGCCAAGCTTCATAACCTGGTTTACCTGGATCTGTCATCCAACAAACTCAGAAGTTTACCAGCAGAACTAGGAAACATGGTATCTCTCAGGTGAGAGAATTTATTCTCCGTAACTTTTCAAAAAATCTATATTCTGGGATTGGGACCGAGAATTTTATTTTGCTTTCCATTCTTGTTTTTAGAATAATTCTGAAAAATACAGGATTGGTGCAAATGTTCAGTTCTAATAATTACTTCTGGGTTTATTACTCTTCTCTGATCTCTACAGATGCATGTCTGTAAGCTATGTAGTCTTCTGCTCTGAAACATTCTTTGAGACTTGGGCATTGCCTGCTGTTTAAATTCTCCCCGATTTAATTTTGTGGTTTGGGGGTTTTGTGAGTATGAAAGTATTTTGGTCGCGCTTTGAAACGGGAAGATTGGCATATCTTTCCACAATACAAAAAACTCAGGGTGAAAAGTGTCATCTTTGAAGATGAGCGGCATATAGCGCTTTAACAGTTTTCTTCTGAAGTGATACTCATCAAAAGTGTTTCTGCATTTGCTGCAGGGAATTGCTTTTAAATAACAATCTGTTACGGGTTTTGCCTTATGAACTTGGACGGCTCTTCCAGCTACAAACCCTAGGTTTGAAAGGTGAGCGAGTTCTTCACAGTGAAATATTCCTATGAGTACTCTTGAATTACTGAGGGGGCTGGGCTCAAAGGCTTTTTGTACTACCTCAACAGTTTACTTGAGATATTAAGATATTAAGCTTGTAGCAAAAATGACCGGCCAGTTTGTAAAACAAGGCTTTTCTTTTTTAATGGTATTAAACTTCCTTATGAACCTATTTCAAATCTGTAGATAAGTAAATAAAGCCTTTAACTTACTGTACTATTGATTGAGGTGAGTCAAAGAAAGAAAGTCTATGTGTGCCGGCTCTTGCTGTAGCATCTGTTACCGTGGTAGTCTATGGTTCCAAGTTAAGCAACCTAACTATCTCCCGGGTCAATTTGTCTGTTCTCATTATGGGAGATTTTCTTTGGTCAGAAAGCCTCAAGAAAGTCAGGCAGCTAATCACCCGGTTGTTGTTTTATGCTGTTGGCAGGCAATCCTTTATCACAAGATATTCTCAGCCTCTACCAGGATCCGGACGGAACTCGAAAGCTACTGAACTACATGCTTGACAATCTAGCAGGTGACAGCCCTACAACTCTGATTGACAGAAGTGGTTTAAAAGCATGCATTTCTCACAGCATTTGCTGCTAAAACAGGAATGCGAACCGCTGAAGGGAGAGTATTTTCTATCTGCTTTTGTGTTTTTGTCGAGCGGTTCCAGTCGTACACACAAACGCACACTTGCACACGGTGGAAGAGGTTGACATATATTGTCTAAGCTTTTCCCGTGTTACCGTGTTAGAGGCAGTTGCTCCCGCTGTTCTGTTTGATACCCTTCGATTACCGACAAAGTGCAAGGTCTTCCTTGCTCAGGCCATTTTGATACTTTCCACTAGAAGTTATAATCCAAATGCAAGCCGAATGTCAAACTTAGATCTAGAAATACCAAAGTGATTAAGAATATCCGATACCTGACTTAAATCCCGCTTCGTGGTTCTGTAACTGAGCTTTCGGTTTTACCACTTGATGTCTATTAAGTTAAAACACAGCAGGAACGAGGCTCTTGGAGAAGGGGAGTGTAGCGTGTCAGAACGACTACGGGATTCACCCCTCCTTCTTCAGCCCTATGTTCAAGGTGCAGGACTATTTCGGTGGCGCTTCTAGATTTGAAAGCAAGAGACAAAAACAGTCGTGAATCTTTTGTCTGACAAATCTGCTGTTACTATAGCTAGCCGTTGAAATTATTTTTGCCTCCCCTGGAGCGTAAAAAGGGAGTTGGGGATGCAAAGTCCAGCATGGAACATTATTGTTCAGTCATCATTTTAACTTAGCAATTGGAACTTACAAATATAAATGCTGAATTAATCGCTGTTTTACGTGTTTTTTAGTTCATCCAGAGCAGCTGCCTCCAAGGCCATGGATTACTTTAAAAGAACGAGACCAAATTCTGCCCTCAGGTAAATCTGCGGTTCTTTTCCCCACGTTCACACAACGATGCGCTGAAAAACTTTTTTTTAGCTTTATTTTCAGAGAAGTCTTCTAGCTTGCACGGATCACATTGCAAATAGCAATTTATGTTCATTTGTACTAAAACAATTACCATATGGCTATGCTATAAACATCATTTCTGTAATTTGAATGGGATGCCGGTCATTTCTTTTCCATGTTAGGCTTTTTCGTAACTGTTCCAGCCACTGATGCCCGAGCAAAAGAGCTTTTTTTAAAAAGACTCATCTCTCAGAAATAATAATAACTCTAAAATAACTGTATACAAATACCGTGTCCACACCCAGGCTGTCTAAAGTGGGACCTTGAGAAGTTCCTATCTGCAAGTAAAGCCGTGGAGTGCTTGGTACTGAAGTTAGTTTAATGCCCTCTATTGTTGCTTTTGGTAAAGTGCAAGAGGCAGCATTTCTTCAGGCTGTCCCAATCTCCCGGCTCTTCTTCCCCTGCGCACCCTGAATATAGCCCTCAGAAAGCATCCGTGAGCTTGTATAAAGAATAAAAACCGCTAATATTGTTGTTGCAGAAGATCGGATTAATAACCAGAAAGAATAATGTGGCAGTCCTCCGTACTGTTTCTTTTTACAGACCTGAAGACGGCGAGTCTTCAAAACTTAACGCGGTCGTGTGGTAGGGCAGGCTCATGTTGCGGTTAAGATCATCAGTCGTTTTTTTAATATTAAAGAACAGCAAACCAGAAAAAAACCAGGAAGAAACGGAAAATGCCAAAAGCCCTGTAAGCCACCACAATGTTAACTTCTGGATTTCTGTTTCGAATTCCCTTACAAATCAGTCTCTCAGTGGAGTTTTAAGGACTTTTGGCATTTTCCGTTATTAGAAAGCATTAGCTTTCTAACAGAAAAATTAGAAAGCGTAGCATTAGGCAAGTGAGCCGTGGAATATTTCACGGTAGAAACTGTTGCAAGCCAATTGGTTGTTAAAAAATTGAAACAACCGAACAGAGGAAGTCGTCTTTGACTACAAGTATAAAAAATACAGCTGTGGGGCAGCCTCGTGGCAAAACCTCACTTCTTTCCCTGCAAATATGAGCAGTCTTTTCCAGTGGCGTGGTGCTAGGATGTTGCATTTACCTATATCTCTTTCTTGGTGTAAAATCTAAAGGAGTTGAGAAGTTTGTCTGTGAAAGAAGCGTGTTTCAAGGTGAATGATCGGATGAGCGGCATGCTGACTTCTCTCTTCTCCTGTTTTTTTTCCCCCCAAATGTGACCAAATAATGTATTAGGGACTTGCTAATTTATGACTTCATTCCCTGCCCTCACCCAGACCTCTCTTCCCGCCTTAGACTTGACAGACGCAGGTACGACTTGATCTAACTTAGAAACGTCGTATGGGTGCTAGGAAACTTGTACAAATGTTTTGGAATCAGACTGCTTAAAAACGAAGTGTTCTGAAGCAGCGTTTCGCTCTGATGCTGTGGTATCGTGGCGCAGTAACAGCTTCTTTAGCAGCTTGGTTTTGCTTTTGCTTTAGAACTGTACAGCTGACTTAAGCCTGAAGTTGCTGTATCAAGGCACCTCGTGCAATAAATACTGGGGCTTGACTCCACCACTGGAATGGCGGCTCCTTTCCCTCTCCTCAGCACAGAGAGAGGCTGCTCCTAATTGTTGCTGACCCCTAGACCTCCCCCATCCCCAAAGGTAATAAAGAATTGACCACAAAATGGGATTGCATTGCTCTGTGACGCACGTGACGCCCTCTCGTTTTCGTAGTAAGGCTGATTTTTTTACAGGAAGAGTTTAGCCTTACGTGGTAACTGCTGGCTCAGCAGGGCCTTTTTTACTCCCGCTCATGAAACGCTCAGTGGAAGAAGCCCACTGACTTGCGTTCGGTAGGCCCTCCAGAAGAGACCGTGTACGATTCAGTATTTCGGCCTGAATAAGTTCAGCATTTGTAATCTTCAGAGGGCGATAACCTTTCCCTTTCCTTCCTTCCTTCCAGCTTCATTCACAGTTATGTGTTACAATGTCTTGTGTGATAAATATGCCACCCGGCAGCTCTACGGCTACTGCCCGTCTTGGGCGCTCAACTGGGAGTATAGAAAAAAGGGAATCATGGAAGAAATCGTCAACTGTGATGCAGATATCATTAGCCTTCAGGTAAGTGGAAGATAACTGTAGTTTTCATCCGAAAGAGAAAACATTAGCTTCCACCTTCAGAATGAAATGCTCCCCTGAAAACACCGCATTCGCCTGCTTGCCAACGCGTTCTGGGGCTTACCAGTACAAGCTGTGTTCGCAGCTCCTTGTTTACGCATTGGCTTGTGTTTTATGGAATGAGACAAAGTAAGTGAGATAAAATCAGCTAAATTAGTCGGTTATTTGCATTGCAAGATCTGGGTCTTTCCCCCCTCAGATGAGCATCCTAAATATCCTCCCTCTGAGTGTACGGGGTTTTCTGCAGAAGGGGAGAACGTAGGACGCTATAAGCCCAAATGCCACTACACCTAGTCCGTTCCGGCTAGGTACAGAAGTTAAAGTCTCAAAAATACTCTCATTGGCAAACAAAGGGCCTCTCAAAGTCAAATATCGACTGTCATTGGTACGCGTATCCTGCCGCGTTACTAGAAATCGATTGCCGACGTTTAGAACAGTTGAACACTTCTGCCTTTCAACTGATCTTTAGTTTTTTAGGCGAGTTCTGGCAAGAAAAAGCCTCACACAAGAAGAGAGTAGTTACCTTGGTCTGAAAACCTCAAGAGATCAACCTCTGAAATCCTCTTGGAGACCAAATGTCACTACAAAAAAAATATATTGTTACAGAACAGCGAGAGACCCTTGTGCGAAAGAGCTCTCCAGATTAAATATTAATTGCTGCTGGGTATTTCTCGGCCTCTCAGAAGTTTTCACCTAGGACGGTATCCGCATTCAGATGTCAAAAATATCAGGTGTAATCTATTGCTATTCAAAATGCACCTGTCACTTTCTCTTTTGGGGGGATTCCAGGATATTCAGGAATGCAAATCTGTTTCCAGCAGGCCGTTAATCTAGGAAGTGACATGATGTGTGCAATGCAAACAGAAGCCTTTCGCTTCGGTGAGAGCTGCTGACTGCAAGCCAAGGCAGGCCCAAGTTGCTGTACAGCGATAGGAAGGGTTGACGTGACTTTGTTAGCCTAAGGTGTTTGTGTTCAATTCCAGGAAGTGGAAACAGAGCAATACTTCACCCTTTTTCTGCCAGCCTTGAAAGAACGAGGATACGATGGATTCTTTTCTCCAAAGTCACGTGCCAAAATCATGTCGGAGCAGGAGAAGAAGCATGTGGATGGCTGTGCAATATTCTTCAAAACTGAAAAGTAAGGGGCAGAAGCAGCTTTTTAAAACTACATTAAAACCAGCTTGATTTAGGTCTGAAAGCTTTCCTCTCTGAGGGTACGTAGTAACCAAAGTACTGCTGCTATAAAACAAAAGATAACGATCACTACAAAGAACGATCCTTCCTTCCCTTTGGCCGCTCTATTTGCAAGAGGGTCCTTCCATTCCTTTCGGACTATGGGCAAAGATATCTCTTCAGAAACGCCGAAGTTGCAGGAGAGCTAGTATGATTAAAAATTTTAGTGCTTCACGCACACACTTTTTGGCTGATCTGATAAATACCTCGCCTTCTTTACAAACTTTTGCCTTGCTTGACAAAAGTTTCACCCCTCTAAGATTAATCTTTAAAGATCTGTAAGCTGTGCTGGCTTAACCTTCAGGTGTTAAAAGATGTATTGCTGCCAAAGGATCACAGAATATTCTCTGCTTTTACTAATCAAAACATTATGTTACTGAATACCCGATCCAAAAAGTTCTGCTACACTAAAGCATCAAACTATTTGGAGGGGAGGAGAGGTGCTGGCATTCACACTTCTCCTCCGTGTACACTGCTCACGGGCTGTACCGTGCCAAGTATCCCTCTGAATAGTCCCTCCGAACCATTCTCAGTAATTAGAATGGGAGTTTCGCAAAGCCTTAGGTCCCTTCCGGAGTTTTCACTGATTCCAGAAACAAAAATACGCCCTTCAGACCATGTATAAAAACAACGGGGCTGGTTTTAAATAGAGCAAGTCTGTGAAAACACACAACTGACGGTTTTCAAACCTTGATACTAACAAGGATATATACAGAACTTGTTATTACGCTGTGGCTCTCACAGGTAAAAACAGAAGACTAATGATATTCTTTTTAAATTTTCTTAGAGCACAAAACAAAAAAAACCCCACCGTTCAATAGGTAGCCTTCAGTTTGTCCTGAAGCCAGGCATTTTCAGGCATCCTAAGGCTGGAAAGGAATGAAAAAACAATTTCACAAAACTAATGGAGGTAGCTAGTGGTTTGAAAGAAGCTGGTTTTTAATAATGCATTCGCCCAAAGTAAAAGGCAAGCCTTTAATTACCATCTCATCTTAATTTTTTGTCTAGAACACTCCTGAGGAGGTGCGATAACCTCTGAGCGTTGCTCTGAATAGTCCTCTCAGAGTGCTACGCCGAAACAAGTAAACGCTTCCTAAACCCCAGGTATCTCATCTCCCGTGAGACCATCTCACTTGCCAGACCGAGAGCTCTACCCTGACTGGGGAAATATTTCTTAGAACTGTTTTTACTTTATAAAACGAGAGGACGAAAGAAACGTGCCTCACCCTGTCCTGCAGGCTCTCTCCTTGGACGTGGTAGACCGGAGTGCCGATAGAAACCGCGTCTTTTCACGTAGCTGTAGGTCACACGCGTTGACGTGCGATTCTCTCTGTTTCACCAGATTTACGCTGGTGCAGAAGCATACAGTGGAGTTCAACCAAGTGGCGATGGCTAACTCCGAAGGTTCAGAAGCTATGTTAAACAGAGTGATGACAAAGGACAACATCGGAGTTGCCGTGGTGTTAGAGGTGCACAAGGAGTTATTTGGAGCAAGTGAGTACGACCGTCGTTCTCTCCTTGATTACTCAGCTCCACGTGAAGGCGTGAGTTATTCTTTAGGTAATAGGTCTCTCTAGAGTATTATTGCCATTGGTGGGGGTAACCAGCGACTCGGCGGGTGAGCAAACGCTGTTCACTCTGTTAACCTGAGAAAACAGTAGCCCATCGGTGGCTAAGACAGGGCACAGATGACATGATTTCCTGGTCTGGTTGCACTCGCAGCCAGATGCCCAGCATTTAGCTTTCTCCTTACAAGCTTTTGCCCCTGTCTACTTATTCTGTTGAATTCTATTTGAAGAATTAAGCTCTTCCAAGATCAGCGTGTTTGCACGGATACGCCCTTACCAATAGTTGTCGGTAATGCTCAACTTCTATTTTCAACTCTCTTTTTCTTCCCCCTTGATTGAATCCCTCCATCCTCCCCCAGGGATTATATGACAGTGCTAATGTTGTGATGTGGAAGAATGAGGTTATCAGGGATCTTTTCATGCCACTTGACCGACTGACTGTCACACGTTCGTTAAGTTTGATCAGATGCAGTAGACAATTTCAACGTACGTAAAGTTGCCACCCTGCCCCGTCTGCGTGCCCGGTTTTTTGATCGCTTGTTGCCGCTGTACCCTTCAAAGGAGCAGAATGTCTAAATCGCTGGACGGGAAGGAGCTGCCTGCGACTTTATGCCCCATCTTTCAGAGTACTGTTTCTCAGATAGATGGTAAAAGCAGCTACAGCGTTTTGCAGCAAACAGGTTCACGCTGCATTCGTTTAAGCAGGTTGGAGTTTTTCCCGAGGGGACAATTTGCCGTACCGTGGCAGCTAAGAGTCAGGAAACTGCCTTGTGCCTTAAATATTGAATAGTGGTACAGGGTCAAGTGATGATCACCGGAGCAGTAGAGAGGGAATGCAATTATAATGGTATCAGATTATGCTGGCTGTTTCTTTCCTATGTTGGAGAGATTTAGTCACGCAATATTATGTAAATGCTGCTAATTTAGAAAGGAATAGTGGCTGAGGTAATGCCTTTTTTCCAAGCAACAAAAGTACATCCATCTGCTGGTGTGTCTGAGTTGGAGCCTTTAGTAGCTAGACCCTGAGTGTTGGCGGGGGGAATCTGCTGCATTCACGCAATCTGCCTTTCACTGATAAAAACGTCTTTGTTTATCTAGGTATGAAATCACTTCATGTGGACAAACAGCTGCTTATTGTGGCCAACGCCCACATGCACTGGGACCCCGAATACTCGGACGTGAAGCTCATTCAGACTATGATGTTTGTCTCGGAACTGAAAAATATCCTCGAGAAAGCCTCAAGCAGGCCCGGTAGCCCAACAGCAGATCCTAACTCTATCCCTCTGGTGCTGTGTGCGGATCTCAACTCATTGCCCGATTCAGGTAACGCTGGTTTTGGCTTAATTTTTCACTTACCTTTTTAGAACGTCTGAATCCTCTTTTCCTCTGAGGGCGATGGGGCAGTTTTTGCTTCCCTGGGTAAGTGTGGATGAAAACTTTTTGCTAACAGCTGTCTCTCGAAACCGGGCCGAAGAGAATGCAAGTTCTCAGGTCGAGTAGACTGCTTTTCCTGATCAGTTGTACGTTGGTTGCGCCTACGACGATGTAGGAAAGCACAAATAGGTCTTGAACAAATCGTTAAATAAATACCCGTGCCCTGAGCAGCAATAATACGTAGGAAAGACGTGAGTTTGTGATGGAACGTGAAAACTCTCTGAGGAGACCGGTTTGCTTTAGTCATTACAACGTTTGATGCTGTAATATCGGGTATACGTACGAAAGCTGCCTCTCTAGCACCCCCTCACATGCTTACTACAGGACAGGTACTATGGGTCGGTTCACTGTAATCCTGAAAAAATGGTGTCAAGACCTCCGGGGAGCCTCAGCTCCCTGGCTGCGTGTCAGAAAGGTGCGTACGGCTCAGACGTGGACGAGACAGCTGCTGTGTAGGTTTCCCCTTAGACGGAAAGCTCTTTTCTGATCTCGTGGGGTGTCGTCTCGCTGTTTTGGTTTTTAACTCCGAGGCCAGCGCTCCCTGAACGCCGTGTTTTAAAGCGACTCCCTGAATCCTTTCCTTTGCAAACAGGTGTAGTGGAATACTTAAGCAACGGCATAGTAGCTGACAACCACAAGGACTTCAAGGAGTTGCGTTACAACGAGTGTCTCATGAACTTCAGTGGCAATGGAAAAAACGGGGCTTCTGAAGGAAGAATTACGCACGGCTTCCAACTCAAGAGCGCCTACGAAAACAACTTGATGCCTTACACCAATTACACTTTTGATTTCAAAGTAAGCAGCGATTTTTCTGAAATGGCAGACGTTGACCTGGTCTCCCCAGGACGCTGTCTTAATTTTCTGACCGTTGGCTGTCTTTCTCTTTGTGCCTGTAAGTGCTTCGTCAGTGGTTCCTACACTCGCTGGACACTTTCCTACCGCAGACAAACCCTTGATTTGCCGGTGTTTTTAAGCTTCCGACCTGGCTCTGGCCGGTGACTTAATGAGAACGGATGCAGCGCTTTGAACGCAGAACGCCACGCGCGTTTCTTACCCTAATTCCAGCGCTGTGCCTCTTCCATTGCAGCCAGAAAGCAGTCGAGTTCAGGTTGCCAGAAGCGAGGTCTGTTCTCACTGTCGTGTTTCTCTTTCTCCCTAGGGTGTGATTGACTACATTTTCTATTCCAACACTCACATGAACGTGCTTGGTGTCCTGGGGCCTTTGGACCCTCAGTGGCTGGTTGACAACAACATCACTGGGTGTCCACACCCTCACATCCCTTCAGACCACTTCTCACTGTTAACACAACTCGAACTCCATCCTCCGCTCCTGCCTCTTGTCAACGGTGTGCACTTGCCTAACAGGAGGTAGTGGAGCCCTGCCCCTTTGAGGGCAAGGACCTGTTGTTACGGACCTGTACAGTTGTAAATCAAAGTATATAGGAGTGAAGTATGGCCAACCTTAAGCTGCTTCTTCAAGCTCCTTTCCTTATGTGTTTGATATGAGATTTTGCACATTTTGGTGCATATTGGTATCATTTGGCACTAGGGCTGGAACCAAAGTATTATTCCCTTTCCAGGTTTTTAATTTAATTTTTTTCTTGTTTTAAATGGCAAGCTTTTTCTTTTCGGTAGGAAGCTGCACTTATAAATGGACAAATGAGATTAAAAACTTGCTTATTAACGTAATGCTTATTACCTTATTTCAAGGTAATGCTTTTTTCCAGAACGTGGCGAAATGAGCCAACCTTTTAGGAGAAAGAAAAACAAAAATAGAAATTCTTGTTATGTAGGAGGAATATTAGGAATACTGTTTGTTTGAACCCAAAACGGAGACTGAGCTCTGCATCCAAAATAAATTTTGCACATTAGCGAAGCACTTAATTAATACCTGGCTATAAATGATCAGCAGTGTGGCCCTGCCCCTTGTCTGACTAATATTAGAAAACCAAAGATGGCTTAATATCTGTGATAAAATTTGAGGTCTAAATTGTCCTGATGTAGCCTCATTGACAACGAAACTTCCAGCGAAGCTACGTCTCACAAGAGCGCGCAGGCGAGCGTGTAATGCTGCGTATCGACCGCTTGCTCGGCGGACGCCACGGGGACTTTTTTTCGGAGCTCTGAAGAACTCGGTCCTTTCTGGGCGAGATACACAGGGATCCGAAGGACCTCCGTGAAACACAGCTGCCTCTCTGCTCCGGCCAGCCTGGGCGACGCGCCGTTCAGCAGCACAGGTTTTTGGGAGCGGGACTTAGAAAGGGTAAGAAATTGCACCCGACGGGAGCCGTTGCAAGCGTTCGGGTTCCGGGTGAGTAGAGAAGTCGCCAGTCCGTCCTAGGTTCCCTTTGCCAAAGTTTGGTTGCAAAGATGGGAAACTTGGGCTTAAACGCTTAAGCGTAGGGTACAGGAAAAAGCCGCTGGAAGTGATCCGACTTCCGTCTCCGAAGGGCACGCGGAGTCGCTGTCGGCATGTTTTTTTCACCGGGGGAGCGAGCGGTAGCCGTAATCATTCCTTGGATTATTTTTCCTGACCCTAGTTGCCAAATAACCGTCACGCTTTTTCAATAATCTTTCCTTTCTGTTGTCAGTCAGGGTTGAATTAAAAAAGCTGCTGGTTCATTCCCAACTGTTAATGCTCTTCGGATGTGTTGGAAAATTTTTTTTTTTTTTTTTCCTTTTTATGCTCTAGGTGGCCAGTTCAAAACCTTGTGCCTCAAGAGGCATTAAACATAATGCAATTTTCTGAAAAATTGGTTGGCTGCTTAATGTTTAAAAAAAAAAAAAAAAAAGGCACAGTGATAGGAAAAGGTTGTGTCTGTGTTTTTAAGTTTTTCTTTATTCTGCTTTTTTGCTGCTATAAGATTTTCTTGAATTTATATTTTAAACTTTTCATGCACTTTACTGTTTCTAGTCTCAAAATGTGATATTTTTAATAAATGAAAAAATTTTCCATTATGTGAATGAAATTTTTAAGCAGATTGATAGCCTATATTTATGTCTCATTCGTATACTTAAACAAAGTCAAATTTAAATTGTGAGATTAGTTTTAAATACTAAGGAGCCATCTTCTGTCTTGCAAAACTGCTAAGTCAGGCTGTTCCTCTTTAATTAAACATTTCCTTTGTCGTTTTATACATAGGAAATTATCCATGGCGGGGGGGGAAAAAGCCCAAACAATTGGTCCTGGAGTAGAAAGTATTCCCTGACTCCTGTTGGGGGACGGGGCGGGTGGTGTGGGACAGAACGCAAAAATCGGTTTAACGAAACGACAACTCCCTTTTGAAAGAAGTGCCTAAAAAATAGAGGCGTCATCTTTTGCCTACTATAAATTGGAAGCGAGCGTAGCTGGGTGAAATTCCTGTAGAGCAAGTGCTTTGTGCAGCACCAGGAAAAAAAAAAGAAAAAGAAAAAAAGAAAAAAGCCCTTTCTAAAGACAGATTTTCCTCTAGGTGCAGGTATCTCTTTTTTTAATATACCTCAGCGTTCGACACCTAGCCATCACGGATAAACTGCGGAAGCGATTTGAGAGTATAGTACTGGAAAGTAGAATAGCATGAAAAACTTAATTTTGTGGACATTACCTTTCTGTCATCAGCTACTGTATCTTTTTCGGAAGGGGGGGTGCTCTGCTCTGGAGGTGTGCACTAACAAACCCGTCTCCTCCTTTTCCTACACGCGTGTTAACTAGCAACGTGAGCAATATTTCCTACCATACTTCACTCCCAATATTTTTTGAGATGTTTGTATAAAATGGAATTTAAAATTCACCTACGATTGTATATGAACTGCAGAGGAGCCCGTTTATTAATAAAAATAAAACCCAACAACAATCTTTTGTAATATCGGGGTGGGAGAGGACGGGGATGGAAAAAAACCAAAACCAAAACAAAACAAACCAAACCCTGGCAAACATTGTAAAGCGCTTACGTTTGACTCTCCTTTGGTTTCCAATCGACTGAAGTGTTCTGTTGCGGGAAGGTGTTTAACTGGATTTTCTCTGCTGCGAAACGCACTTCCGAACGTCCATTACGCTGCACGATTTTTAAAAAAAAAAAAAAAAAGTTATTTTAACAGCCGGTGCACAAAACCTCTGGATTTTAAAAAAAAACGAGTCTTGTTTATGTTTCAGTCGATGCACATAACCGGGGGACATGTTTACCCACCTTTCACGTGTCTGGTTCCCTCCCTGTTTTCCTTCTCTTGTGCTTTTTTTTTTCCCTTCCCGGCAGGAGCAGTAAGGAGACCGCGCTTTTTTGCCAGCCGAGCAGAAACGCCGCTCTCCGTAGCGGTTCTCCGCTCTCAGGCGCCAGGGCGCGGGGAGCGGGCGGCCCTCGGCCTCGTGCGCAGGACGAGGTTCCTTTCGGCGAACGTGCGCATCGTCCTGGTGGCGACGCCGATTTCCTTTCGAGCCCGATGGAAGCTGACGGTAGGGTGTTTTCTAAGGGAGAGGGAACAACACGAAGCAAAATATCGCCCACCTTAAGCAGAGCTGGATGGGAAACCATCAGTTCTCTCCGTCGCTGACCCTCGGTCCCCAGCGCGTGGCGGGGCCCTCGCGGCTTGACGCCTGGGGGGAAAAAAAGCTCTAAGTCCTTTACTGCTCCTCGCTGCCTTGGTTTGCTTTCAAAAATATGGTGCCTGGTGTCAACTTCTAAGCAACAGCACTGCCTAAAGCAAGCAGAGAGAGAAAAAAATCCAACACCTTTCTACGAGCAACTTTTTAAAATTCAGTATGGTAAATCTGTTAGATATGGGGTTTTGTGTGTGTGTGTGTATATATATATATATATATATAAAAAAGAGAATTTTGTACAATGTAGCTGAATATTTTTGTTTCCTTATTTCGGTGTAAGGAGCGCGAACATTTGCGTACCACACGCTGCAGTCGGGTACGGCACAAAGGGGTCTGAGACCAGCTTTCCTTCCCGTTTGCCTCGTTAAAAGCTTTTGTCGTCTCTTTCCAGCGTTGGTTGAGAAAATACTTCATTTGATCAGTAAGCTTTCTCTGTCTGTTGGAAGCCACTCCTGTTTAGTCTGCAGACACATTCAAAAAAGACCCCATTAGTCCCAAGTCCTCGCTGTTCTGTGTTTTCTAGGCTAGAAAGCCCAAATCTTTGATTCTTAACCTTTTCAGAAGCACTTGCCACTGACCTAGCGCAGCTTTCAAAACCGTACCGTCATCTTCAGCGTTGGGGTAGCGCTGCGGATGGCTGGTGGTCTCCCACCTTGCTGGCTTTGCTGCGGAGACTCCTAAACCCGCGTTCACGCTCTGGAACTCCCGAGCCCCCGCATTACAAAGGTGCTGAGCATCTGCAGCTCCCGCTTATTCCCAAACAGTGGGCTTTCGGAGACCGCCTTTCCGCACCCGGCTCGCGAGACGTCGGGTCCGAATCGCGTGCGAGAATTTGAGACCGCAAAAGGTTCATGTCGGTTGTTTCTCTGGGGATTGATTTTGGTGAGGTGGCGGGGGGAATTCTTGAAATTCCGAGTTTCTCTGTTAATTTAGAAGACAGGCTGGGGAAACGCTTTAAGGATTCCTAGACCGGGAGCGCAGTATTCGCGCCCTCTTGGTAGGGAGCAGGAGCCAGAAGTGGCTGCCTTACTCTCTGAAGACCAGATTTAAACCCAGCCACACAGCAAGCAGTTACTTCATTTCCACCGACGCATTTTCACCTTCTAGCATCACAACCTTCTTTTGGCATGGGACTTGGCACCGAGAAAGGTCTTGTAGGTCCTATCCAAACCAAATCACTAGCCCTGCATTAGAACCACCACACAAATGCGATACGCACCCTCGTACGGGTTTAAAAGCGAGTTTAATCGCAAGTAGCGGTTCTCCTCTCCCCGGCGACCTCAGCTTTGTTCGTAATTATGATTCCTCTGTTCTTGGCTCCTGCATGGATGTTTTTCTTGTAACGGTAATGAAGACCTGAGGAAGGACCTTCTCCCTGTTGTATGGGGAGATGACTGATCTAAGCACATCCTTACCTGGCACGCTGGAACACTAGGCAGCAGCAGCAGGTGGTTCAGCTAAAATCAGGCTGTCAACGTAGAAGAGCAGCGGGTTGTCGTCCGACTCGGTCCCCGCGGAGGTGCGACCTTCTTCTGGGCGGTCTTGGCAAGCGGAGCTGCCTGGTGGGGAGCGGCGCGGCACACAAGCCTGGCTGAAGCTCATGCTGAAGTTCACGCTGGCTTCAGAAGCGGTGCGGTTTGGGCACCGAGCACGCGTGCTGAAAAAAACTCGCTCGCCTCATTTGACGTGTGCCAGCAGGACCTGAACTGCGTGGTCTCAGAGGGGTTTTACCCGGGCCGGGGCAGAGGACCCGATTTGTTAGAGACCGGAAAAAAAAAAGCCCTAGATGCAGAGAG